CATCATACTCACAGGTTCTTCCCACACTCAAGGGGAAGAGATTATACAGGATGTGGGTCATTGGTGGTTATTTTAGAATTCTACCATAATTATCCCTTCCTGGCTGTCACAGACTTGTGGCTTAAGTTCAGCGTGCAGTTAAATGGCTGGTTTGGCAGAAAAGCTGTGTTGAGGGCCTTGAATTTTATATAGCTCTCTCATGCTCACCGTTGCATTTAATCCTTACCATAGCTTTCTGAGATCTATGCCCCTATCTCCAATTTAACCAGTGAGGGAACTGGAGCACAGAGAGCTTAAAAAAGAGTCTCAAGTCTACACAGCTAGAAAATAGAACTTGAAATCCAGGTCCTCCAACTCCAAATAGTATGTTCTTTCTTTTACATCTCTCAGCTGGGGCAACCCCTGAGACCTGAGTGCACTTTGGAGTATAATCTCATTAGGGAGAGAACCGCGTCTCATTTCATCTGTGTCTTAAAGCCTGCACACTCACCTTATGTTGAGTGTGATTGAGCTCATGCAGGAAGGCTTTTTACAATGAACTTGGAATCCCTAGAATGATGTATATGTTAGTGTTCTATTGCTCCTTAGAAAATTACCACAAATTTAGCAGCTTAAAACAATACCCATTTATTAGCTTACTGTTTTCATAGGTCAGAAGTCTGGTGCAGTATGGCTGGAATCTCTGCTTAGGTTCTTACAGGCTGAAATCCAGATGTCAGCTGAGTAACAGCGTTATCTAACTGGAGGCTTAGAGTCTTCTTCTAAGCTCATGTGGTCATGGTAGGACTCAGTTCCTTGCAGATGTGGGATAGAAATCTCTGCTTCCTTGTTAGCTGTCTGCTTGAAGAACCTCTGCTTTAGAGACCATTCTCATTCTTTCTCACATGGCCTCCTCCCTCTGTCTTCAAACCAGCAACAGAGGGTCAAGTACTTCACACATTTTGAATCTCTTTTCTGCCACCAGCCAGAGAAAACTTTCCACTTTTTTTTTTTTTAAAGATTTTATTTATTTATTTGACAGAGAGAGACACAGCGAGAGAGGGAACACAAGCAGGGGGAGAAGGAGAGGAAGAAGCAGGCTTCCCGCAGAGCCGGGAGCCCGATGTAGGGCTCGATCCCAGGACCCTGGGATCATGACCTGAGCCGAAGGCAGACGCTTAATGACTGAGCCACCCAGGCGCCCAAAACTTTCCACTTTTAAAATTCACGATTAGATCAGGCTCCCTTGACTACTTTCCCTATCTTAAGGTCAACTGTGTCATATAACATAACATAGCATAATCACAGGAATGGTATCTCAGGATAGTCATAGGTTCTATGGATTATGGTGTGAATCCTGAGAAGTGACATTTTTAGAATGCTGCCTACTACAGTGTGTCTTTAACTGTCTCCCTGCTCTCCCCCAGCATAACTTAGAAAGTAAAGGCATGGACATTGTAGTCAGACTGCCTGGGTTCAAATTCTGGCTCCAACAATCTTGTGTAAGTTACTCAACCTCTCAGTGCCTCGATTTTCTTTCTTTTTCTTTCCTTTTTTTTTTTTTTTAAGATTTATTTATTTATTTTAGAAAGAGCGATGTATAGAGAGAGACTTCAAGGTGGGAAGGGGCAGAGGGAGAGGGGAGAGAGGGAATCTCACGCGGACTCCCTGCTGAATGCAGAGCCAGATGCCGGGCCTGATCTCACCACCCTGAAATCATGACCTGAGCTGAAATCAAGAGTCAGACGCTTAATTGACTGAGCCACCAAGTGGCTGAGGCTGAGGTACCCTAGTGCCTAGATTTTTTAATTGAAAAGTGTGGGTCTCACTTGTTGTTGTACACTTTAGATGAGTTATTGTGCCGGGAGAATACTTCAATACATTGGAGCACTAAATCCAGGTCCTCCAACTCCAAATAGTATGTTCTTTCTTTTACATCTCTCAGCTGGGGCAACCCCTGAGACCTGAGTGCACTTTGGAGTATAAT